ATATATATAAATATTAGTAATTAATAGGGCTGCCCTCGACTAAAGATTTTTCTGGTCGACCAGTAGTCGTTCATGTTAAACGGTTAGTCGACTAATCGCACGTTTATATTAATAAACCATAAATCATAGTAATGAGCATTTAATTGCCTATGTAGCACATGAATAAGGTTTGCCACACAGCGCACCAGCAGAAGTAATGATTATGAATGCATCAGGAAAAAAAGCAAGGAGACTGCCTTAACATTTTAATAATTCGTTGATAAACCAGTGTTTGCTGTATTTTCGGCTGCAGTGATGAATTGATCATCTCCTCAGTGGATGGGCTGCAGTGATGAATTTACGATCTCCTCAGTGGATGCGCCTTTATTAATGTTTCATACAGATCACATAACCTGAGAATAGTTGTTTTCCATCTGAATTGGTTCGTTTAAAAGCATACATTTCGCTTTCTATAGATAGGCCTATATTTCTTATGCCTGAGGCAAGTATACACGGAGTTTCGTTTTATTATTTGACGCGCTCAAGTTCAAAGACCGTGATGAGACGGCAGAACGCGCAAGCGCACCCCATTTGCTTTCATTATTTTACAAAATCACAACGTTTTTTTGTTATTGTAACTGCACACAAATAAAAGAAGAGTCTTTAAAGCTTACAAAGATGTATAACTCCTATTTGTATGACCAAAATATTTTAAGCGCAAGTGATCAAACCGACGCGTGCTTCCTCATTCCGCACAAACACTGAAAAGCGCACATTTTTATAGGTTAACGTTAGAGCGAGCGGCCATGTGAAGTTGCTACTATTTACACGTTTCAGATTATAATCCATATTTGAGGTCGATGAATGGTAGGCGAGCGTTTGGATGCCCTGGCCGATGTACTGTATATTACCGCATAGAGCAGCTGTTAACGATCTTTCGTCGCAGAATGCATGACTTCGCCACTTCCTGTGTTTTTTTTTTCTTCTGCGACTAAGCGACTAAAAAAAATGTGGTCGACTAAGCCTTTTTTCGTCGACTAACGATTAATCGACTATTAGGGGGCAGCCCTAGTAAATAATAAAATAAAGTAATTATGTATTATTTTCATAATTTATTATTAATACTAAGTGATTTTTAAATGTTGACTATTTTTTGAAGTGAAATATTGGCAATATTTCTTATTTTATTTAATAATAATAATTAATATTCTTGCTAAATTAAAATTATTATTATTATTATTATTATTATTATATAGTCATAGTGATAAATAATAATCACAAAATGTTTCGGCAATTTGTGCAGTTACAAACAATGCAAACCTGGAACTTTTTATTTTATTAAAAAAAAAAATTCATCATAACATGAGTTGAGAACAGCATCAATTACATCTCTAACGGCTCAGTTATAACATCACAAGAACAAGCTGAAAGAACATGAATCACTCGCATCCAATTTCCCAGAAGATGACGACTGACCTACAATCAGCTTTTCTGAGAATCTCCTGATGAATCATCACACTAAGAATAACGGATATTCGAACAACCATGTAACGTTATATGGTTCTTTGGATACTTCTAAAGCTCTTGATGATTCGTTATAGGTTCTTCAAATCAGGGTTTTGATTTCTGGATTCTTTAATGCACCAGTATGTAGATAATTTTCTAAAGCACTAGAGTATAAAAGGTTCTTTGTGGAAGTTAAGCAGGTTCTTTATGGCATCAGACTGTAAAATACTTGTAGTGTTTGCCAAGTCAAGCATCACTGTTGTTACTGCTCAAAGTTAGGGCCAGAGACTTGAACAAACCCTTAACACTAAGTACTTCACTTTGGCACATAACCACAGGTAAGCAGGAGCTAATTGGAACCATAATTTTTTAGATTTTATGAAAAAGAAAAAGGAAAAACGAATGTTCCTTGAAGACAAAATGCAAGACGGCTGCTGAATTCAGAGAAATGGAGCCTAGTTTTGTCCATTATCTCCACTGAGTTGAAGAGTTCAGAGGGAGAGAGGATGGATGAGGATGGTCAACACAATCTGACGAAGAGCTGCTTACGGTCACCAAACCCATCTGAAACAGTAATCCCTACCCATAATCCACTGGGTCTGACTGATGAGTACAAACAAGCCGAAAAGGACCAACAATTGGATTAAGAGTAATGGTTTCACAAACACTTCATTCAGAATGGCATGTTTTTCAATCTCGATCCTGACTGTGAGCACAAGCGCCGCTGTTTGCAGCAAAATATCCTTCCCTTCCTAGTTCTGTGAAGGATTTGCCCCACAACAAGTTATTAAATCTATCGACCAAAAGTCTGTTTTTAAGTAACGTTAGAGGTTTGATAAGTCAAACTGATTCCGAAGATCCAGAATTCCAGAGAACACAGTAAATCTTTGAGGCTGAAATTAAACGGAGCAGTCGGCTCTAACTCCTAATCCAAGATTTGGGATCCCACATTTAATCTCCGGCCGATTCCCACTTCTGCTGAAATCTCAGAGGTTTAAGATCAAAGTTTGGTCAGTGTACGTAAGAATAAATCAGCGGCAGTATAAGACATGTCAAATTAACGACTGTAATGTGGTCATTTTTCACTGTTGAGGTATTAATCTGTTGTTTTAAGACACTAGAGCTTTGTCAACAGCAACAACAACAAAAAACGATGCTAAAGAAATGTCATACTTTGGACATACTTTCACGTATCTTAGATAAAATCACCCCACTCGTGATTTTTTAAAACTGTTACGTTTCTTATAATAAGTTGCTAAATGGGACTACAGGCGCTGTCGGAGACATTAAACGTCATCACGCCGAACAGTTTATCAATTTACAGTATTTTCCAATTGTAGTATAATTTATAGTACATTTAATTGTAGAATAACCAATTCATAGTTTCCCGCATTTTATATTGTTGTTCGACAATGTTTTTTTGCTTTGCCCCAAAATGCAACACAAGTCTTCGGATGGAAGATGTGCGTTTTATCGCTTTCCTACTGATACAGAGACTCTGGGTTCGCACCATAAAGTAAACTCATATGATTATTCCATGTAAACACCACATTTACCGGCTTAGTTGCAGTGAAAGTGAACGTTTTACGATGCATAGTGCTTAAAGCCACGTTAAAATTAAATGTTTACGGCCACATGGAGCGGTTAGGAAGCATATAGATTGAGGATTTTCTAGAAGCAAGGATAAAATAACATTTTGTGTACCCATACTAACAAAATAATAGCTGAAATGTGGTACTTTATTCACTAAAATAAGTTTAATCTTACCATATCCAAAAACTCACTCACTCTGCTGTTATTTAATAGATTAAATGCACTAGAATTTTATTGAATAGTACGTGGAGACACGTTTTTAATTAAAATATTCATATTAATCAAGGATTTATTGACTTTTAATGCACCTTATTTCGAAATGTATAGAAATATGTGCTTTCATATGTCTTTTAGTTATGATTATTTCATTTATTCACTATACTATTTATTACTAATGTCTCATTTCAGTTTTAGTTTGGCTCTAGTTTTGTATTTATTCCAGTTTATATGAAAAGGTTCATGTAGCGTGGATTAAAATTCATATACAGACTAAATCCTTTTAACTGAACGTGTTAAAAATAAGTTGGAAAAAGTTGTCGGGAGCGTGCTGGTGGTGACGTTGAAGGCAAGTGACCGTCGTGCTGTAGTTCGTTTATAGCCTAAGTTTAGCTTTTAAGTTCTGGCGCTTTTATTTAGGCATCAAAATTCTAAAGTTATATTATTTTGTGAAGATTATCTTGATGGACAAAAAGTGTAAGTTTCATGAACTATGATTGAACACAGAGCTTATTTTTTACGATAATCCAAAAGCCGATGGAAAAATCCTATTGGCTTTTTGTCGAGGGAACCAGTGCGATGCTAACAGCCGATCGGCCTACAAAGTGACGTCATAGTTCCCCCACTCTATTCAGGAGCCAGTGAGCAAAGAACTCATAATAATAGAAAACCGCGTTAATGCGTGATAAAATAATTGTCGGCGTTAATCAATTAAAGCGTTAACGCGATAATGCGTTAATTTGCCCAGCCCTAATATATATACACATACACACACACGTCTGGTTTGCTATCCTTGTGGGGACTCTCCATAGGCGTAATGGTTTTTCTACTGTACAGACCGTATATTCTATTGTCCTATTGACCTACCCCTAAACCTACCCCTCACAGGAAACTTTGTGCATTTTTAGATTTTCAAAAAACTTCATTCTGTGTGATTTATTAGCTTGTTTACCCGTGGGGACCTCAGTTTAGGTCCCCACCGTGACACGAGTCCCCATGAGTCTGTGTGTATTCAGGTTTAAGTCCCCACCAGAATAGAAAAACAGGTACACACACACACACACACACACAATTTAACAATTATCACCAATAACCAATTGTATACAATAAACAATTGCTATTATCAGTTACTATTTGACTGGTACAACAGAAAAGCTCAGGATGACCCCTTACAAAAAATATTACCGCCATACTGTGGCAGTAATAATGGTACCACGGTACAAATGATAATTTCATGGCACTGAATCATTAGCATATTCAAATAGCATGGTATTTACATGTAAAGCCAGCACATTTTGAAGAATACAGCAAAAAGCATGAATTTCATACATAAGGGTAAGTGCCATCTGATGCCATCACTGTACCATGGTACTGCCAAAGTACATTTTTGTAAGGGGACATATCTAAAAACAATGGTATTGTCATGGCACGTTTTACCATTGTAACATTTCCAAAAACATGGTATTACCATGGTGTTTGTCAAAAAGCATGTTATTATGAGGGTTCATGTCCACAAAACATTATAGATATAAATAAAATGGTACTTTTGCGTTGGTATCATCCGTAAAATACATCAAGGGATACAATGTCCACAACACCTGCTGTGTGACAATCATAGACTGTATAAAAACAGGTGACAATCAGCATGAACGAAGGAGAACGAGACACTTACCGAGTGTCTGGCTTGTGGAAACATCATATCAGCCTGTTTTTGTGCTTTCTCTCTCTGAAGATGAAATGAAAAGGCTTTGGATGGTTGTCCTCTTTGTTCGGCCTTGATTTGGTCTAAACTGATGAGTTTGAAGGCAGAAAGAGCTTTAGTCTGCTCTCCTGAACAGATTTCCTGGCTGTGAATTCCTGTTTTCCTGGATTTTGTTCAGCTTTACAAACCTACATCAACTTCAGACAGCTCTGCTTTTGGAATAACAAAAACAACAGGCTATTTTTACTACAGTATGTGACATTGCGGTTTCACAAGAGAAAAATGAATCTTCTATTGAAACAGGCCGATTAATCCACAGCCAGGCTGATCATACTTGTCCAATTTCCAAATACAAGCTACCTGGCTAAAGCTAATAAATAAGTTTATACTGCAGGAAATGAGCAAAATGCGTTTGAAAATGAGGAAAAAACGTCTAAATCTGGTCGTGTGTTCGCTAGTCTTGCGTCTGTCTGGTTTAAGGCGGTGAAAGAACAGCCTGCGCTTGGAAAATCATGCCTCTTCCGCCGCTTCAGGACTCGTAAGGACGGACTCATGTGTGAAGTAAGACGCCAAATTACCGATTCTACTACGGGAAAGGCGTTCCTCATGAATATTAATTACGCCGTGTGCGCGTTGCCTGGCAACCTTCCGGGAGCGTATATTTACATCATCTAATTAATATTCAATGATTGGTCTGGCTTGCTCCTGGGTCTCAGTTGCTAAATATTAAATCTGTTGTTTTTTATTTGTGAGAGATTTTTTGTTTCATTGTTTTATTTTGCACTTCTTTGGCGACCCAAATATATATTTTTGTATATTTCTGACACCCACTTAACATCTCAAAATAAATTTGTCTTACAGTAACTGTATATGTAGGTAATATTATACTATTACTAATTAATATTATTATTAATATTTATTTTAGGAAGGTGTATTTGGGAAATGCATCCAGTTTGTATTCATTAATAAGCCTTTTTTTCTATATCTAGAGTTAAGTAGCTTTATATTTAGACCCGTTTGCATTGCAGCCAATCCGACAGGCGTACCAGGAGAACGGCACGTTGCGTCATTAATATTCATGAGACAATCCTTTATCGTAGTAGGATTCGTACTTTGGTTCATTCGCATGCGGGATTTAAGGTGGCGCTCAGGAGGCCCATTTTAAGATGTCAAATGGATGAAATGACAGTAGCCGGAAGTGTGTTCTGTCGGTGGAAGGTGTTGGAATTGCGCTGCTTTTGTTCCTGCCAAGTGTACAGCGACTCCAACCTGCAATAATAGCAACTGCACCCATGGGAGCATTTCCACTGTATTGAACATGTTATTTATTAATACCTCTAATAGAGGAGATATTACAGGTGTATGTTGAAGACGACATCCTTGAATTAATATAAAGTTTTTAATATTTATGTATTTTAGATATTTTCCTTAATGCAATCTCTGTGTGCCCCCTTCTGGACAAAAAGCTAAACCATATTTGGCAAACAATTTAAAATAAAGCCCATGAGAGACTTTATGTGCTGAAATTATAATGCAGATAAAACTAAATGACTTTCATTTGAAACCTCTTTTTAAAAGCAGGTTTTTAACACTTCAGCATTTCAGGCACTGCAAAGAAAACAAGTTACAAGACCATCAGCAAGTATAGGAACAAATTTATTTAAATTTAAAACAGATACTTCATAATTTTTTTTTTTTTTTTTAGAAGGCGGTTATGAAAATCATTTCCATGTTTGAATGAGGTTCAGGCAACAGTGGTTGGAATGAAACAAATACAAATAAAAACAACAATAAAATATGGCGAGAATGCTGTAAAATTAATTTTCTACTATGTTTTCTCGTCTTGAGGATTTCGATGTTTGTCTGAGCCCACAACTCCCACCTGGACAAAGAGCACATGCTTTAATAATTACAATTCCTTAAAAAAATTTAAAAAAAAAAAGGAAAAGAAGAGGAAAAACAGCAGTTTATCTTCTAACTTAAATACAAAGTAAATCCATTTACTCTCTTCTTTAGTGTTTTACTCATTTTAAAAAGGGGACCGTGTCTAATTTCACAGTCCGCATGTGATTTGGACAACAATTGGCACTTGTTATGAGTCAGTCTCAGAGAAGGGGATTGGCACGCACAATATTATACAACATTTACATCTGGTATAATTACAAAATAAAAGGGTACAAAGAAGCAGAAAAAGAATGAGTGAGAAAACCCAAATAAAATGTACATGATCAAGTGGTCCTGGAAATAACAGCTTTCAGGCAATGCATTACAATGAAAGAACAGGGGATGAAAAGCAGAAATCACATTTTAATGACTTTTCATTGACGTCAACCATTCGACCGTCCACCACACAGATGCACCTAACCGTACCAGTAAACATGCTTACATGGAAATAACATAATCGTCTCGCTCTGTTGTCTGCAATGGGCCAGCAAATCTGACTACATCAATACGCTTATGTGTTCATTGCATCTCACTAAGCGAGTCTTACAAGCACTCAAATGCAAAGAGTCATTGAACTGAATCACAACCATCATGAGAACTCAGACACAGAACTCAAGAGGCAAGCGACTTTATTTTATGCACACTAGAGAAAGATAGGAATGCGTAAGATTTTTTTTCGAGCCGGATAAGTCAAAAGTGAACACAGTGCAATTGGCTGCCACAAAAGCAACATCCACAGCCAATCTTCCTTTTCAGAAATAATCCGGTATAATGGCACAGACACTTGAAGGAAACTCTAGCGCCCTCTTGAGTGCTGAGGATTATCAACAAGACATGTTTGCAATGCTTTGCTCAAGCATTTATGCTTTGTATATGGTATTTTCTAGCCTAAATTATATCCAAACTGTTACCCAGAACAGCCAAAGCCTTCATAACTGATATGTCTATTCACTTGTCCGCTGCTGAACTGAAACAAAAGCCGTGGGACAGACGCTATTTTCCACGTACCACTTGGCGGACCTGTTAGGAAGATTGCTTTGGCCTGAGAAAGGTGTTGTTTTTGCCGTGTTTACATGCGGGTCATTGGCAAGATATAATAAATGAACAAAGTTTGGCCTCCAAACCTCACTGACTGTGCCCTACGGACTTAAAAGTGTGCTTGTCACGTGACTACCAATCCTAAAATGCCCGAAAAACGTCTCACGGTTCACAGAGGTAGAGGTTTTTGAGGGAACGTCGAATACGAGACTTCTGGGACTGGCACATAGATTATAGATATGTGTAGCTCGAATGGTCGGCCTGCAGCTCGAAGCGTTTGCCTTGTGGCACGGGAAAACCAAAAAGTGCATTAAGAACAATCAAGCTGCGCCGAATAACGCCCCCTTGTTTTTTCTTGATAAAACAAAGCAACATGTTCTCATAGTGAAACTCGAAAGTCGCAGTAAACTAAGATCCGTTTGAACACTTTAGAGTAAGACGTACATCAAAATGATAGTATTTCAGTTTGCTTCGTTTCATCAGTTTCTTCAAATCTAACTCACTACGAACAGCGAAGAAAACACTGCAGGATTTACAAAATGGTGTGACATTTCCAAACCCCACTTAAACACTGAATTACACTGGTTCAGTTTACAAATAACACGTCAGGTTTTATATCCATCAAGAAGGCGTTTGGGAGTTTGCTTCTCTAGTAGTGCGTCCGATGACCGTGGCAAGTGATTAAATCAGATGCATGGCAGCAAAAGTGATAAAATAATGAATAATGCATGAGTGTTTGGCGGAATGGGTGCAATTCTGATCGCGTTTCTCCTAGTACTGAATCACACTTTGAACTGTAACCAATCATTTCTGGTTTTCATGTGGCGCGTTTTTTGTAGCCCTTGATGAAAATGAATGAAACGTCACCTGTATAAAATATCGACTGTAAAAGAACTGTAAAACACTTTTTTCTATCTGTGCATCACATACACAACGAGGGAAACAAGCTGTGAATTTATAAAGAAATCGAAATGAAATCAGAATCGAAAGGAAAAGTCACTACTTGCAAGCGTCGACCAAATAGATCTTCAATCACAGACAAAAAGCTGTCTATTTTCATATGGTACATTTCCTATGTTTGTTTTTAAGCACTTCACCTAAACATCATTTGGAAATTTAACAATTAAAAAAAAGAAATCTGTAGGAACGTGAAAAGTGTGGTTAGGGAAAATATTTATAGTACAATATATTGTGTGTTTGAAAAAAAAAAAAAAAAGGCTGATCATTTTATCCATTACGGAGGTTTATACAGCAGTACAGACACTAGCCTCCTATTTCTGTCTCATAACATGGGAGTGCTTCAAATAGGAAAGAGGAAACAATAGCATTCAAATTATCAACAACTTCAGATCTGGTCCATAAATTATATAAATAAAACGTTCTTTATTTAATAAACTTTTTCTTTTGCTTAAAAATCATATTTTTATTTTTATGTTATATAACATTCACACAGTGGAGGAGGCTGTTTCCCTATCCGTCTCCGAAGTTTCCAAACGCTTTCCAAAGTCTGCTCTAGACTATCGCTCATCACGTCCGTCCTCCACACGTTACCGTCAGGTACAGCTATGTGTATATCATTTGACGTATTCATAGTGACCAAAAAAGAAAAATCAAAAATTAAAACAAAGAATCACAGTATCAATAATATTGTAATTCATAAGAAAACCAACAAAACCGTACACAATTACGAAAAAGTGATTTTTTTCTTTTTTGCCAAAGATAGTGTACCACAGACGTTTTGTACATAAGCAATAATGTGTATACGTATTTACAAATATAAATATACACAATCAATTAACTTCAGCGCATAAATGCTTTCCTGTCCCCCTGACCCCGTCCTCCCGCGACCCTCCCCCGGAGCTCGTGCGAAATTCTTGAAATTGTCGACCGAAGAAGTTACGTTATGACAGTTTAAAAACTGCGTAAACAAATAATGGATTGTGTGCATCCGTGCCGCTAGACGACGACGATACCCGCGAGTCTGTGGCCTGGATCATCTGTTCATGAGCGGAAAAGGATAATTGCGCACTCCGAAACTACTTTTTTAGATTGCGAAATTAAAACGAAAACAGGAAGGAGGATAAAACATAACAACCATGGGGGAAGGAAGCAATGCAATAATTTTCAACGTTAAATGTGGAAATCTGCAGAACAATACCTATCGTAAATGTGTAATCCTGTTTTGCGCACATTTAAAAATCCTTAACGTTGTCTCTTACCCATCAATAATTCGACTGCTGTTATAATTTACTTTATATTCGATAGCAGTAGAAGTAGCTATAGTTACTTATCATTAAAAAGTTTTTAAAATGATCATCTCAGCAATATACACAGATTTAATTAGTTTCATCTCTCCCTTGCGTGCTTTGTATCGTTTTGCTTATATAGGCATTCTTATACTATTTTCGTTCATTATAATTTTTTTAGGATTTTTTTGTCATCGTTTTTTTTTTTTTGCATTTGCGATGCTCTCATATGAAGTTTACATTCATCGATGCGAGTTGAAGACTAGCCTCGTCGAGAGAATAATCTCTGCGAGTGACAGGTTCTCCACAGCATCAGTGGAACCCGCTGGAACCCACTGGATTCTAGAATCCGCCGGAATCCTCGGAATTCTAGAAGGATCCGTTTCGGAACTTCCGGCACCACAGCACTAGTCCATGTGTCCATGTACAAGTATGTAAATATGTTGTGATTTTTTTTTTTTGTGTCTTTTTGCAGGGCTGTGAAAACCACATTTTTCCGTTCATCCAGGCAGAATTCCCGAGAAACGCTCGGAGCAGATGACGTGATTGGAGCGAGTGATAGCACAGGAAAGGGGAAGGAACGTCACTTCCAGTTTTTCAGGCCAGCGTATCACAGATCATTCTCATCGTAGCTCCGCCAATCCAACATTTCCATGAAATACGCGAACGTTGGAGTCTAACGCCCTTTGTCAAATCCGAGCCACTTTATTTCGGTGGTCAAATTTGATAAAAGGGAAAGAGGCCTTTGACGAGAGCTGCCGGGGATGAGCGGACAGACTTTGGCAAACAAATAAAAAACAAATGACGAGCAGGACACGTCTGTTATGATTCCGCTGGACAGAAAGAGAAAAACTCTGGAAGCTGGGAAAGAGAAATCAAAAGAACCGTGTTTCTGAAAATGTACATGATGCATGCATGTATGTGTGTGTGTGTGTGGTGTGTGGACGTAGGTGTGTGCACACTCTGTGGGTGCCTGTTCTATGCTGATTCATGTGTCGGACTCGTCGCACATCTCACACCAGGTTGTATTCCTTCAGGTTTAGCTGCAGGATGGTGTCTTTCACCGCCGCGAACACGAAGCGGATGTTCTCCGTGTCAGTGGCGCAGGTGAAATGCGAGTAGATGATCTTGTCGCTGTCGGGGTTCAGATCCACAAACATCTTTAGGATGAACTCCCGTGCAGCCTGGGCATCCCTTTGGGGCCCTACAAAACAATGTGTAAATGGAGTTAAACACTTTAGAAGACCTGAAAAAGTTCATCTTTCCTATTAATTTGCTCCCCACGAATCAAACCAACCAGCTCCAACATGAATCACATATAATTTGATTTGAAACAAAAACTGACATTGAGAAACTTAACTCACTTAAGACATACTTGTGTGTTCAAAATGGGGCTTGTAAGATTTTGTAATGTTTCTGAAAGAAGTCTTTTCTGCTCACCAAGGCTGCATTTATTGGTTCAAAAATACAGTAAAAACAGTAATATTGTGAAATATTATTACAATTTAAAACAACTGTTTTCTATTTGAATATATTTTAAAATGTAATTTATTCCTGTGATGCAAAGCTGAATTTTCAGCATCATTACTCCAGTCTTCAGTGTCACATGATCCTTCAAAAAATTATTCTAATATGCTGATTTGCTGCTCAAGAAATATTTCACATTAATATTATTTGGAAAAAGTTTCACATTTTTGTGAAAACCCTGATCTTTTTTTGAGGATTCTTTGATGAATCTAAATAATTTATTTTAAATAAAAATCTGTAGACATTATAAATGTCTTCACTGTCACTTTTTTAATGCATCCTTGCTGAATAAAAGCATTAATTTACTACCCAAAACGTTTGAAGAGTGATGTAGAGTTTATAAAATGTATTGACAATAGACATTTCCATGACCTTTTGTTGATTCTAACCAACATTTTCACTGCTGTTACGCTCTATAGTGGCCTTTCAAACATGTCACAGAAAAGCTAATGACATCAGTAGCTAATAAAACACATGCATACATTGGTACTGTTTGCATTAAACCAGTGTACATGAAAATCACCGTACAACAAAAAAACAACAACATACCATCGAACTCTGGGAAATAGTCGACCAGGTGGGAGTAGGAGATCTTCTCCTCCAGCAGGTCCTTCTTGTTGAGGAAGAGGATGACAGAAGAGTTTTGGAACCATGGATATGTGATTATCGTCCTGAACAGAGCCTTGCTCTCCTCCATACGATTCTGAACACAGACACAAAGAGTGGATTGCCATATATGTCAAAATGCACAGTAAAACTCACCAACCAATAATATAAAAGCTTTTAGAGCCTTGAGTCCAGAACTAGCATTTATGAAAGATGTAGAAATGTTTACACTGTTGGTCTTCAAGCAGCAGCTATATGCTTCTTGCTGAAATTTTATAATGAATATGGTCTACTATTCCTTAAAATTAGCTTTAATATTTTAATACATTTTTTAATCCATTTTTATTTCCAACTTTCTATTGATTTTTTATTTCTTATGCATTTTTTAGGATTATCTTTAAAACCTTTTATGTAAAGCACTTTCAATTACCATTGTGTATGAATGGTGCTATATAACTAAACTTGCTTTGCATAGAAACAGTATGTGAAATAGTGTAAGGATAGAGTGCAGTGTAAAGATAAACACGTCTATAATAAATGAATCACTTACCTCGTTGTCCGATTCCACTAGAACCTGATCGTACTCGCTCAGAGCCACCAGGAACATGATGGACGTCACATTTTCAAAACAGTGGATCCACTTCCTGCGTTCTGACCTCTGACCCCCAACATCAACCATCCTGAAAGACAAAGAGAGCAAGCGTTTGCATTATTGATTTTTACTGACATTGTATGCATTAATAATTCATGCTTATACTGTGCACAGTATGCAAATCCTCTGTATGCATGGAGCACTGTGTCCCATAATGCAAAGATCTTAGTTTCTAGTGTGCTGAATGCAATGGAATTTTTGACACACTATTATGTGCCAGTTAAGACATTTTAAAGCATATTTGGATTGACAGCTGGGTGGGTTGAAACTACAATATATTGAGGTCATGTGACAGCAACATAGTATAGTACTGTTTGTTTATCATTGCATAATGCATACTTTACATATTTAAAAAAAGCAATATACAGTATATGCATACATCATACTGCATACATCATAGTATGCAGTATGCAAGCATTTAATTCTGAACAAAATCTGTCACTTTACGCGTACTGTATATTATTTTTAAATATCACGTTGCATTCGAACTTTAGGCCTGCGTCAGCCGTCAGGCAGCCTTATCAGTGGCGCACGAAATGCGACGACGATGTAAGTGTCATTGCTTTTGTTAGCCTATCCAGTTGAACCCACTAGATGCGGCGCTGCTACGTTGTTCATTCAATATATTGCGGAAAACGAGAGCATCAGTGTGGAGAAGATGTTGTTTACATCAAAACTGAAACCAAGCCGTTCACACAGAACGCATATTTATCACATTTTCTAGAGGGACATCTATCAGCGTTGCACTCGCGTCTGGCACAAGAGAGCGGCATGTTTAGAAAGCCATGTACAATTAATGTAAGTTCAACTTTTAAAAAACATGTCTCAAGACTTCATGGCGGTCTTTCCCCATCCCACTGTATCTCATGTTTTTAAATGAAGAAAGTAGCCTACTCTTTGCGATTGGTTTTCGGTCCTTTGTATTAAACTATACATACATGCATGGTGCTGTTGTTTTTTCTAATTGTTTAAGCAACTTATATATTTTATTTTATTACGCTTTGAAGAAACGTGCATAATATTTTGCACGATGCGCCCTCTTGTGGCCTCAGGAGAGAAGCCAAAAGCTTTTTTTCCCCTAACTGAAATTATGCCTTTTAAATTTGAATATAATTCGAATTTTGATAATATTTAAGTAGAAAATTTGAATTTAGTTTTTCAGTCATTTTGATAGCCCTACTGTGTATATTTATTATGCATATAAAAATACACACACATGCATGTATATATTTAGGAAAAATATGTTATGTTTATATTTTAAATATATTTATATATAATATAAATTATATGAATATAAATATATACATGAAGAGTTTGGTTACAAAACGCTATAAATCCATTTTGATTAATTTGAGTAAAAATGTGTTTTCTTTACCAAGAAAGTGGCAAGCTGCAGAGAAGGGAGACTGGCGTTTATCGTGGTTTGGAAAGAAAGGGAGAAAACATGACAGAATAACTCGGCGGATATCGCATTTTGCATTAAATAAAAATCGACTTTTCAATACCGACCAGATACAATACTGATTTTGGCGGAAACTCAATTTTTCTTAAAAAAAAAAAAAGCCGTTTATCGCGTTTTGGAACCAAACTCTTCACATGTAAATATTTTCAAAATATATACTGTATGTGTGTGTATTTATATATACACATAATAAATGTACACAGTACACACACATATATTATGTAAACAAAAACTTTTATTTTGGATGCGATTAATCGTTTGACAGCACTAGTTTTTTTTTTACATATTAAAAGTTTGTATTATAGAAAAAGCAGATAACTCAAACAGTCGTTTTTTAGCAAAAGCAGATAACTCCACATTTCATGTTTCACAGTTAAATAAAAACACTTGTTTTATCTTTGTGATTTCCTCAGCTGACAATGCAGATGCCTGACAAGCGTTGTTGTTGTGATCATAAACTGTATGGATGTGATTACACACAATACACGGAGCTTTTCCCTCACCATTGTAATGTGCTGCTTTTGCAAGGTTCCTTTTACGCCCTGAATAAGATATCACGGGTTCATCAAGTTCATCGTAATTATCCATCCTCGGTCACTTTTAGTCAGTTTTGACGAAACTCCTCTCAGCTAGCACGTCTTTTCAAAGTGACTGGCAGCCTTGTCACCTGACCTGAATACAGTGCGCTGATTCGCTAAAATGGACATTTCGCCTTCTGTTCACAAACAACAAGGGCGCTTGTCGGTTTCTGCAGTAAAATGTGAACTCGCGATGCCTTGAAAGTGGACAATACTGGCTTTTTTGACAAAACGTGTTTAGGGTTCAGATCGCGCCATATGTGGAGAATAATGCACGGCACTCAGTTCTTTTTTTTTTTAAAGTGGCGTTTATCGGTTTTTGCAAATAAACTCGTCATATATTACATGTTAAATCCAGCCAGTCCAGGAATCATCCTGCGAATAAAAATATTTTAAATGCAATTTAACGCAAAAAAAAAAAAAAAAAAAAAATCTTGGAAATTTCCAAATATGCAAAAAAAAAAACATGATGCAACAACATGGTATAGTACTGTTTATTTACCATTGCATAAAGCATACTTTTTCAGTTTTACATGCTACTTACAAAACTGTAGGCAATATACAGTATTTCAAACAATGTAATATGCATACAATGTAGTATGCAAGCATTTAATTTTGAACCAATACTGGTTACTATAAAAAAAAAAAAGTATTATGCAAATGTAAACATCTGTCAGTTCAATCACATAATGAATCAATAAAGATAAATATTGTGGAAATATTTGCATACTACACACAATATGCATACTGCATTAAGAGAAAAAGTTGTATTTTAGCATTCTTTTCCGAACACACTCGCAGCCCTAGATTTCAGAAACATGGTAAATGTGTTCAGCCAGAGTCGGCGCTGTTTATCCAGCACTGATTTCAGGATTTCTACGGCGCCCCCTAGTGGAGTCAGAGCTCCAGTCCTGAGCCAGCAGTTCACAGAGGGGCTTTTGATAAATGAAGCCCTCTAGGATTGGCTGCCCAAAATAAAGCTCCTTCAGATAGAAGCGTCCTCATTTCCTTCAGCCAGGGGCTCGCTGACCTACTTCTGAACACACACACGCTCTTTAATGTAGGACGAGTCTCCACATTCACTCCGTACTTAGCGAACTTTGGCAGGAGGACAGACAGAGAGAGCGAGAGACGCCGTGCGTGCTCACTTTTACTCTTCCGGGAAGCTCGACGCGAGGTGCGTGAGGGTTTAAGACAGTTTTACAGAGATTAACAACCACAGAGCTGATGGTAATCATTTATGGAGTCAATATGGCAGAGAGGGCAGAAATAATCTCTTGTGTGTTTTCATGAATTTTCATAGCACGCACATAGGAACGATTAAAAAAAACTTTGTAAATCTCATCAGCATCTCTTCATAAGCATGTTTTAAATGTGCAGCCACTAGGGCTGTGTATCACCAGCAAAGTCACGATACGATACATATCACGATACAGATGCCACGATACGATGCATATCACGATACGGGACTGCATTGAATTTCACCTCAGAAGAGTTTAGTAAAACAGCCGTTTATTAAACACTGCATACTATAGTGCCATTTCTAACTATTGGCAGAGCAGGCAGCTGACCTCTGCATTATGAAGGGCCTCCATAACTGTACCACAGTACCCTACAATATAGGTAATGGCATATGTTTCATGTTTACAACGTTTTAAATGTTGTTCTTGTATTCAAATTAAGCATGGTCCACTGCTGCACACGTGCCACAATATCGATACTGGGACAGCTGTATCGATACTCGTATCGTGAAATCTCTGTGACGATACATCGTCGTATCGATGTATCGAACACAGCACTAGCAGCCACACTGGATATGATAAAATGAAATGTCCATAAATGTGTGCAACTTATAGAAATTTTGTCATGAAACTTCAAACACTTTATTTTTTGTTTTGTTTTTGTCTACATAGGCCACGCCCCTGGATCACGTCATGAATATCAATTACACTATATGATGTTTACCATCACTGATTTACATTAACAATTATTAATTTAGCAGATGCTTTTATCCAAAGCGACTAACAAATGACAAGTACAACAAAGTAATTAATCCTAAGCAGGCAATAACACACAAAGTGCTACCAATAAAATGTTTCAAACATCATCTAGAATTTAGATTCGCTAAAAGGCAGAAGTCGGTAAATGCTAACCATGGTGGGATTACCATTTACCACTTGTGCATTCGTTTAACCATAGCGACCGGATGACAGAGGCTTCTGCTTAGAGTCATTTAAACCGCAACCATGAAAAATAAACCTCTTTAAAATATAATCAACGTCTTTCAATAAGCAAGGGGTTGCTATGTCTCTGCGCTCACTACAGTTCAAAGGAAATTAATACTTTTATCAAGCAAAGATGCATTAAATTGATCACAACTTATGGTAAAAACATGTATAATGTTACAAAAGATTTCTTTCAAATAAATGCTGTTCTTTTGAACGTTCTATTAATAAAAATATACTGTTAAATAAATATTTTTAAAAACTTTAAAAAAAAAGTTATACATAGTGCAACTGTTTTCAACACTGATAATAATAAAAAATGTTTCCTGCGTATCAAATCCGCATATTAGAATGATTTCTGAAGGATCATGCGACACTGAAGACTGGAGTAATGATGCTGAAAATTCAGCTTTGCATCACAGGAATAAATTACATTATTAAAATACACTCAAATAGAAAACACTTGTTTTAATTTGTAATATTTCACAATATTACAGTTTCTATTGTATTTTTGATCAAATAAATGCAACCTGGGTGAGCATTTCTTTCAAAAGCATTAAAATACCTTACCAACCAAACTTTTTGAACATTAGTGTACATAATACTTATTTACATTTGACAGTGCTCCTCTCTTAAAAGAAAATTAGAAATTGTTTTGATGGCTCAATAAAGACAAAAGACAAAAAAAAAATCAACAGAAGTGCAATTTAGACAACTTTGACTGATGTGGGGTGTGATGTGGGCTGTATCTTTGTAGGTCACACACTAGAAAGTCGTCTTCAGCTCGGCAAAATATTAATAACTCTCCTCCATGGATGTATTCTCAATGCTAACCTACATTAAGTGCTAAGTTCCTAAATTTCAAACGAAAGCTGACGAATAATTGGTCCGTGTCCTCTACCTGAAAATGATGCTTTGAAGGTCGAACGGGTATTCAATAATCCCCGTGGTCGGGATTCGAACCCTCAGAACATCCTGCTGGGTGGGAAGGTAGGAGGGCTCGGCGATACGATCCAGATCAGAGAGATAGCTACAGAAAGACAAGGAGAGAGAGATAAAAACATCATTAACCCCTTTATATCACATGCGGTGGTTTAGTAAAGGATGTTTCCAGCAGAACCCTCGAGAGTCAGACGTCGTCCCCCGTCAGCAGATCTCAGAGGATACTCATTATGCTGTCTTGTGAGACAATCTAAAAAAACACAATGGCTAAATAGGGAAGACAAATGTTTTGTGTGTCTGGTCAAACTAAGGTAGACTTATCTTATGTGCAGAATGTACACTGCATACTGTCTAATATTTCTGAAAAACATGTGAGTGAAATAGTGTGGCGTATATAACGATAAATCTCTTTCCTGGCTTATTTAAATTGAATGTCGAATGAGAAGGAAAACACCATGAAAACGGCCAAGAACCTATCCAAAATCAAAAGAAATTAGAAATGATATTCTGCATAAAGAATATTAAGGTGTTTTCAGAACAACTATGATTTTATTGCATTGTGACATTATTGTCATGCAAGTAAATCCTGGAAAATTAAAAATCTTCCTAGAATAAAAAAAATGATAAAAGAATAAAGAAATTAATGTTAGTCATTTTTTTAACGTTTTTTAAAATGTATTTTTACTTTCTTGCACAATATATATATATATCAGTGGCGTGCGGTGGTGTTTTAAAATGAGGAGGCAGTTTTATATATAAATATATATTTATATATAAAACTGCCTCCTCATTTTAAAACACCACCGCACGCCACTGATATATATATATATATATATATATATGACCATTTCAAGTTTTATTTTGACGTGACACAAAGTAGTGGTATCTAAGCGGGACAGTTGTTTACTTACTTTATAATTAGTCAATAACGCCATCATTTTCTTCATTCAGACCGAGAGCTCGCAACGAAAACAAGAGGCGGGATTTATCACACGAACCAATCACACCCAATCATAACCGATCATATCCAATTATAGCGCGATGGAGGCATTACCTCCTCTCACGTGACTTTCCCCCATTCATCTCAATGAGCCTCCAGAAAAGTCACGGCACGCTTTGGGGTCTCTGTAGAAAGTCAATGGACTGAAGGGAGGCAAGCCTCCGCTGTAACTTTACCTGCGGGTGTCGCTGTTGGACAGTGTTACTTTATAAAAACGAGTGACTTTTAGACTTTTAATGTCATATTTAGTCATATTTGCGTTGTTTTATTTTTGTAATATCGATTATTTTCTCTTCCAACTTTTTGAGGAGACACTGCCTCCCTTGCCTCCTCGGAGGAAACGCCCCTGATATATACACTCCTCAATTGCATTTGCTGAATTTAACATGCAACATGCATACTGTACATTGCATACGATTTTTAATAGCATGTAAATCAGTAGTCTGGCTACAATGTTGTCACATGACCTCATTATGTTGCATGGTTAATTAAGCAAATGCTGTACAAATCTTACAAAATACTTAGATGGTTCATGTAAATGAACTTGTTCAAAAAACGATTCACTGATTCATTTCAATACCTTTGCGTTTTGTAGCAAGATATTTAGTCAAATTCTGTAGTTTGCCACAGCGGTCGACACAAATTAACTATACATTTATATAAATAAAGAGACTAGTTATTAAAAATTATTATGTTTCTAATTTTATTAGTTGAATTTGTGTAAATCTGTTAAATTTATTGCTGTCACGCAAATATATCCTACTGCACTGATGTGACCTGTTTTACCCCAGCAAACCAGCAGGGGGTGTGATTCACATGATGCCAATGATTCTTGAACAGACAGACTCCAGGCTTCATACATCTGTGTGCATTAATGTGGTGAAATACGCACTGCCTCTATATTTTATTGGGCCAGTAAAAGAAATAGGACAAGACTGACTGCCGCCAAACTCATCATCAGAGACATGGGCACAAACCCATTCAGAAAAAGGGCCATAAAACACTAAAACACAGTCTTTGAGACATGAATTGATTTGTATGTGTTGCACAAGATGAAAGACATGATATTTTTAAACAGAAATTGATTTCCCCCCTCCTTTTTCCAGATTTAATAACATCTTGGATATCGGTGGCCATATACATCCCTGACCTTCGTTTTACCAATGAAACTACAATATATTTGTTTTTTAACCAATTAAACTACAATATATTCCGCAGAATATTTATTTACAGAAAATATACTATAGTAGAACATCCCATCTTCTCATATGTAGTGCTGGAAAAAGTCTGATTAATTTGGTCGAATATGTTAATTTAGATGGTTCATGTAAATGAACTTGTTCAAAAAACGATTCACTGATTCATTTCAATACCTTTGCGTTTTGTAGCAAGATATTTAGTCAAATTCTGTAGTTTGCCACAGCGGTCGACACAAATTAACTATACATTTATATAAATAAAGAGACTAGTTATTAAAAATTATTATGTTTCTAATTTTATTAGTTGAATTTGTGTAAATCTGTTAAATTTATTGCTGTCACGCAAATATATCCTACTGCACTGATGTGACCTGTTTTACCCCAGCAAACCAGCAGGGGGTGTGATTCACATGATGCCAATGATTCTTGAACAGACAGACTCCAGGCTTCATACATCTGTGTGCATTAATGTGGTGAAATACGCACTGCCTCTATATTTTATTGGGCCAGTAAAAGAAATAGGACAAGACTGACTGCCGCCAAACTCATCATCAGAGACATGGGCACAAACCCATTCAGAAAAAGGGCCATAAAACACTAAAACACAGTCTTTGAGACATGAATTGATTTGTATGTGTTGCACAAGATGAAAGACATGATATTTTTAAACAGAAATTGATTTCCCCCCTCCTTTTTCCAGATTTAATAACATCTTGGATATCGGTTAACATGAAAGTAATAGTTTATTCAAAAATAACAATTCATTTACTCGCCCTCCTGTCGTTTCATACCTGCATGACTTTTTAACTGAGGAGGAGAATTTCTTAAGAATTGTATTTGTCATTTACAATGAATACGAGCATGAGCTTTTAAGCTCTAAAGGACACAAATGCATCATAAAAGTAGTCTATATGACTCGTGTGCTATATTGTAAATCTTCGGAAGTCACATGATAGCATTGTGTGAGTTATTCAGTGAAAATTGCTCTCGTTCAGAGTTCATGAGAAATGGCGATGTGGGATTCAGAATTCAAACTTACCTTTTGAATTAGTTTTTTTTTTCCCAAAGAATCAGTGATTAAAGACTCACATTTCAGTCTAGTTCAGTTGACTAGAGTACGTGAGTCAAATCAAACTTCTGCAAGCCGGAAAGCCTCAGTTCTAATTCACTGTAACTGCATGGGGAAAAATCCCCTTTAGTGTTCCACGGAAGAAATACAGTCACACGGGTTTGGAATGGCGTGAGGATGAGCAAACAATGACAAAATTCCAGATGTACAAATGTTTTACAATGAAATAACATGCACCAATTAATCATTCACAATATCACCAGGAACACATATTAGGAAAGTAAACAGGGTCATTTTTGAGTTCATGTAGATTGTGAGGATACACAACAGTGTGCACATATAAAACTGTTATTTATTAATAATCATACTATATTCAATACAAAGATGATGACAGATATACTCACTATTTCGTGGAGTCTGACAGCTGGTACTCTCTGCGTCTGTCGTAGGCCTCTTGAATGCCTGGATCTGTCCACAGCATCTTAATGGCACTAATGTAGGGCTGGTTGAATGACGACACCTTCTCAATGTCCACCTCCTTCACCAGCATGGCGTTTGCCTGCAGCCCAGAGCATATTAACAGTTTAAGGCAAAAGCAATGGAGAAAAATATTGATAATCTACAGCAGTGCAGATGTGCAATACTCCATCTAACCTATTTTAAACATGCTCTGGTCCTTCTATAATTATGGAGCTTCTATTATGCATGACATCTTATTAATAGTGAGACCACGTGGAATATGTACTTTTTTCATTTGCCACACCAAAGCAAAATATGAATGGTGAAAGCCAATTCATGGTTAAAATGGCTGGTGGCAACGACAACCAGTTACAGCAGCTAAAATATAGATATAATTTTAATCTAAATCTTTTTAAAGATGTAGATGAGTTTGTTTCTTCATGGAGCAGATTTGGAGAAATGTAGCATTATGTCACTTGCTCACCAGTGGATGCTCTGCAGTGCCGTCAGAATGAGAGTCCAAACAGCTGATAAAAACATCACAATAATCCACAAGCAATCCATACCACTCCAGTCCATCAATTAACATCTTGTGAAGCCAAAAGCTGCATGTTTGTAAGAACCAAATCCATCATTAAGATTTTTTTAACATTTAACGTTTTTAACTTCAAACTGTTTCTTCCAGCCATAATCCATAATAACGCTTCCTCCAGGGAGAAAATCCATCCCCTGTTGTCCTCCCACATCAAAATCCAGCTTATAAATGAATCTTGATCTGTGCATATTTCTCACCTGATTCAGACGAGACAAAATTTTTCACTGGAGAAAGCTATATTATGGAGAGAGGACTGGTATTTTAGCTGGATGCAATGGTTTGAAGTTGCTTCAAAAATGTCTTGATGGATTTGCTTCTTAGAAACACAGCTTTTTGCTTCACAATGCATTAATGGACTGGAGTGGTGTGGATTATTGTGATGTTTTTATCAGCTGTTTGGACTCTCATTCTGACGGCACCCATTCACTCCAGAGGATCCATTGGCGAGCAACTGATATGGCTAAATTTCTCCAAATCTGTTGCCACAAAGAAACAAACTTGGATGGGCAAACAAACTTGGATATCTTGGATGGCCTGAGGGTGAGTACATTTCATTTTTTGGGTGAACTATTTATTTAAAGGTGATGAGCGAAATTGTTTCTGGAAAGTTTTTTGCAATTGAGCTTGGTGATACAAGTGGAGCAGAAATTACACGTGTTTTGATTAAGGTGTGAAACATGACCTAGACATGTTTTCATCAGTTCCACCCTTAAAACCGTCTAACTTCAATACTCTACATGAATCATTCTCACCTTGTTCTGCTCATACTTGTAGCCGATTTTCAGGGTCTCGGTGGCGCGGATCATGGACTGCATGGAGGTGAAGATGTTCTGGTACACTAGCTTGGTGAATCCACGTTTGTCTTCATCTGTGTACCCGGTGCCATGGATGATACGCATCTGTTTGATGAACGTACTCTTGCCGCTCTCACCCGTGCCTAGAACAGAGGTAAGGGTCGGAGGTCAGGTTTACGTTCAAACTCTGGATCTACGATCAAGATCATTGGTACAGCATCCTTCATTCATGATCACCTGTTCAGATGTGTGGTTTGGTCACAGTGTGGGAGCAAATCAGGACACTTGAAATGATTTAATTAAACAACAACAAAAACTCTAAATCGTTCATTTGAGAGAAAAGAGCCACTTCTAATTAATGAGAGCAAATATGTGCCTGTGTGATGTTAGCTGCCAGTCCTTTTTCAGAAAAAAACAAAAAAAAAAAAACTACATGGTTCACTTCAATGTAAGTCTATGGGATTTATTTTACTCGTTTAATTGCAAGCAGCACACTTTTTGGTTCGTTTTGGTTACATCAGCATTTCCAAAATGACAGTTTGCAAACCCTTGGGGATTCATAAAGGAAATGCACGGAACTGAACAATTAATCAAAATGAAATAGAAATCACAATATAATTAACAGTGGCTCAATTCACAGTAAACGCTGCTTCTCACAATCTCTATCTCTGTATGCGCTGTGAGTTTAACGCATGCCATGCATTTTGGGAATGTAATGTGCAATGTTATTTTCAAATCAAAACAATTAACATTTACTGAAAAAAAAAATTCAGGGGGTACTTTAAGTAAATATTTGACATCTAAAAGGTTCAGCTGACAAGCAACTTTGGGAAACTCCTGAGTTACATTAATTCAATACATTTATTATCTAAAAAAAAAAAAAAAATCGAAATAATGTTGACTGTCTTTGAAGCCCAGTGTACAGGCTGAACTTCAAAAGGGTTCGTATGATCTGTCACACATGTGAACTCGCCCACACACACACACACACACACCAGCCCACCCTCATACTGAAACACAGATTAAAGTCAACATGAAATGACGCTCACATTTTAATTCTGCAACATTTCCGAATGCAACAGGGTATTCAATGAGAAAGTCCTTTAAAATAGCATGAATCCCTTAAAAGAGCACTATGACTAGAACATAGTGAAAGCAGATAGAGTCCATTTTAAATCTCAAGTTGAATGTTCCAGTCTTAACTCTTAAAAATAAATGGTCTTTATTGGCATCTACGGTTCCATGAAGAACCTTCAATGTCCAATGGAACCTATTCATTCTACAAAATGTTCTTTCCAGTGAAAAAAGGTTGTTTGCATTTTTAAAATGTTCTTCACATTAAGAAAAAATGGTAAGAACTGTTCTCTGAAAGGTTATTTAGGGGAAAAATGGTGCTTCCATGGTGCCGCTGTGTATCTTTTAAACTGTAGCCACAGCAGAAGAAGGTGAAACCTTTGCGTAGGTTTTGCTGGTAAACCAGACATTTTCTAAAAAGCAACACCTCTGTCACCGGAAGCACAAACCTATCGAGAGACACTGACAATATCTAAAGATGCTGTCGAACTACAAACCCCTCAAACAAAACATTCCCTCTCACTTCCTCGGTTTTACACACAATTAAAAGCTTTCTCCTTCCCTCTCTCTTGTTATGTAACACTCCTGTTTTGCTTCTCGGTTCAGCTGAGTGAGGATTTCAAAGGAAGGCCGCTCTTTCAGAATGAGAGGAGTCCTTCATCCCCTCTGTGACTGCAGGAAGTGAACCGATCAGCGAAGGGCCACGAGCATATCTGTACAAATAAAGCCAAATCCTACTCAGTTTTTGGAAAAACTTTGAGGCTCTGAGGAATGTAAATGTGCTGCTGCAGTTAAAGCTGCTTTGGGAGATTTTAACGCTACTTGCAGCACAAAACCTACTAGATTTTTCTGCCACTTTTATTGTCCACCAGGCAATGCCAAGCACCACTGCTTACAGGTTTCCCAAACAATTCCCCATCTGCATTTTTGACTATCCACAACATTTAGCAACTTCAACTACATAACTAAACAAGTATGACATTTTCAGTTAGCATTTTCCCATTTGCTTTTTACATGGCACAAATGTTATATTTTGCTTCTTAAAAGACATCGCTGGTCATGTGCAAAGTGGTTTATAATATTCTTCTTCATAACCACTTAATGGAGCACTTTATCTTATAAAAGAGCAATAAACAATTCTCTTTCAACAAAAAAGGCTGCATTTAATGTGCAGTGTCAACCTTTTACAAGCTAATATTTTCTCGGTCTGATATGTTGCTTTTTAGTTGAAAAAAAAAAACTTTTATCAATTAGAGATGTTACCACAAACAATATTTAAAATCTTTTTAGAAAACCATTGGAAGTTTCATGACATTTGGGCAAAGGGCTTGTAATGTTATCCTCAATATATACAGACATGTATTATTAATAAATAATTAAATATTTATAAATCAATAAATGTAATTATTTTGATATAAATAATTTATTTTATTATATTTACACTATTTGTCTAAAATTTTAAATCTTTTTGTATAACGTTTAAAATTTTAAATCTTACAATTTTAAGAAGTACAGAATTATAGAAAAATCATAGAATGCCTGATGTCACACGTTTAAAAAAAATCAGATCTGTGCATTAGGCTTTTGCAGTGCCAATGCAGAAAAATGGCAATTCTACAATTGCATATTGAAAAAACTTAAATAGGTAAATACAATACAGAAAAGGTTGTTTGATAAAAGGAAACATTATAGTGCAGTTATGCCCAAACAAAAATGAATCTGCTCTTCACAATCATACAGGTCAAATTCAACCGTCTCTCTGCAGATATTATAAGTACCAAATACAAACTATATAAATCAGGTTATTGATCTTTTAGAAGAAGCCAAAAGAATGTTATTTTTCTCTTTTCTCTCAGTGGATTCATGCTAATGGAGATCACTATTAAACACGCTGATTGTGTAGCAGGTCCAAAATGGAAACACATTAAGAAGTGATGCATTAGACAACTGAAGTGGCAACACCCGAGGTTTAACCAAGAGAGAAGATAAAAGTGTACAATGCTTTTTAAAAGCAAAACAAAGAGTTCAACCCAAGCTGGTTTTTAATGGGTCAGTGCTGATTATGTTATGACAGGGCTGGATCCCTGGAGAGTCAATGTGCTTCATATCAAACAGGTCAAACAGCATTTGCTTCCCATGCTAAACAGATGCAAATCCAACTGCATCAAATTACAGTATCCATGCATCGATCAAAAAACTCACGTGCAACCCCCAAAACATGCGTCAGGTTTAATTGTTTTATCTTTCAGCCGAGCAACATGCCACAATGTTTCTAATTGCATCTTTGCACAAAAGCAGAAAATATGGTTTTGTTGCCCGCACAACCAGGAAATGTCCTAAATGCAGAAGGCATGTGAAAAGGGGATTTTCCCGATCACAAAAAAAAAAACATCTTATTCAAATATAGGGATGCATTAATGCCCAGAGACTCCTGGCTTATTATAGGATGTCCATCAAAACAAACCCCAAACCTTTTTGGGGAAGAGATAGATGAGATTTGGCTCTAATGGCCAATGATTAGATTAGCTCTGTACACACCTTTAACTGAAACAGACTCATGTCACAATGCTTTCAATGAAGTGGGAAATCTTAAAAAAGTCAAACATCCGGCATTGTTGCACAAACTCTTCTATACCTTTATGAACTATGACTATACAGAATGAAAATTTGATAACAAATATTTGCAGTGCTTTAAAGGAAAAACATTCTGCATTCAAGGTTCAAAGTGCCAGTCATTTGGTTGCTATATTAGTAACAATGCCTCCACCCTTTGTTTGTTTTAGAAATACTACACGCATCAGCATCTCTCGGTGCTGGATCTCTCGTGAATGAGCTGTTACAGTAGGAAGAATCTGAAAAAACACCTGCTGATAGATGATAGACTGGGAGAGACAGAACAAATGATAGATAGATAGAATGACAGAAAGGACGACAGAAAGAACGACAAATACAATGATAGAACGACAGATAGATAGATAGACAGAACAGTTAGACAGAGCGATAGAGTGATAGAACGATAGATAGAACGATAGATAGGATGACAGAAAGAACGACAAATACAATGATAGAACGATTGATAGAACGATAGATAGATAGATAGATAGATAAACAGAACAGTTAAACAGAGCGACAGAGTGATAGAACGATAGATAGAACGATAGATAGATAGAACGATAGATAGAACGATAGATAGATAGATAGATAGAACGATAGATAGACTGACCCAGAGCTGTTTTTTTATTTTTTTTTGTCTGTCGTGATTGTGTGGTTGAGCTTCCTGCACTGTGGATTATGGAGATAACTAGAACATGGCTAATTCTGAACGCCTTATTTTCACTGTTTTCCATCAACAACTCCTTGTGTCTGAGCCTAGGCAAGATGTGACCTACTCCAGAGAATACCTGATGTCTCTACAAAGACATGCAGGACAGCTGATTCTTGAATTATTAATGCACGATTGCCCCGAAATCGCACGGAAACCTAACTTTAAAGCGAAGAAGTTAAAGAAAAGGGGTGCAAGAGGGGGTGTTTGGGCCAGGCTTCGGAAGCGAGGTGCGCGATTCCCTCTTCCCATGATAACGCTGTCAAATGTGCGGTCGCTTAATAATAAAATGAACTGATGTCCAGGGTAAGAGTTGAGAATGACTTTAAAATGAGTAACCGGATCTGTCTAACGGAGACATGGCTTAAAGACCAGACTGAAGTTGCGCTTCCTGGTTACATCACGATAAGAGCTGACCGGGGGAGGTATGTGTATTTTTGTGGACAGTAAATGGGCAACACAACTGCGCATTCATGAGAAAGTGTGCACACCCGACTATGAGTTGCTTTCTGTATCATTCAGACCGTTCTATCTTCCAAGGGAATTTGGACAGATTATATACCATTCTGGTTTACATACCGGGACCTAAATACGAGGAAGCTGCTGGTAGGATAAGTGAGAGTTTTAACAATGCACTCTAGCGCTCTGTGGACCAGCCTGTGTTCATACTTGGGGATTTTAATAACTGCGAACTTTCCAGTCATTTACCAACGCTACAACAATATATAGACTGTCCCACATGGCTTT